CTTGCAACAGTTGTTCCCAGTGGAGCACGGAGCCACAACACCCCTCCAGTCTTCCAACAGTTGTTCCCAGTGGAGCACGGAGCCACAACACCCCTCCAGTCTTCCAACAGTTGTTCCCAGTGGAGCACGGAGCCACAACACCCCTCCAGTCTTCCAACAGTTGTTCCCAGTGGAGCACGGAGCCACAACACCCCTCCAGTCTTCCAACAGTTGTTCCCAGTGGAGCACGGAGCCACAACACCCCTCCAGTCTTCCAACAGTTGCACCCAGTGGAGCACGGAGCCACAACACCCCTCCACTCTTGCAACAGTTGTTCCCAGTGGAGCACGGAGCCACAACACCCCTCCACTCTTGCAACAGTTGTTCCCAGTGGAGCACGGAGCCACAACACGCCTCCACTCTTGCAACAGTTGTACCCAGTGGAGCACGGAGCCACAACACCCCTCCAGTCTTGCAACAGAGCAAGCAAAGAAAAATCTAACGTCTTACAAAGCGCCTTTTTTCTTACTTGAAGTGAGAATATAGCAAGGGTCCTGATAAGAAAGTTTTATTGTGGAAAGGTAGCGAATAGCAAGAGGCTGGATGTGGGGGGGGAGGGGATGGGGGAGAGGTGGGAGAGAGGACAGACTGAGGTGGGGGAGAGAGAGAGGAAACAATGGAGTGGGAGAGAGAGGGAGAGAGGACGAGATGAGCAGGAGAGTGCCACGGTGTATGAGGGGTAATTATATGGGTATGACAACTCCACGTTAATCACACCCCACATTTCACATTTGACTCATTGAAATACTCAAATACTCAATAAAAAGGGTCTGCGAGTTTATAATTGCTAATATCTCTTTAAAGTATTTAACTTAGGCCTACCCTTACCAGCCTTTGTCCATTCCATACCCCAGACCATTCCACCCCCCCCCCCACCCTGCAAGTTTTGGTAAGGATAGCCTAAAATGTCTGGCTTCTACCTTCGGAAAGTCTCTCGTACAGGGACAAGAAAGGCGGAGGATAGATAGCAACAATAAAGCGTGCGAGCAATTAATACACGAGACAAAGCCTGAATGATCTCCAAGCTGTAAATTACAAAAATCTTGATGTCTCCAGGATTTTAACCTACGAGGCCGGGGAACAACCCGCTGACTACCACTGTACTAAGACCACTTCACTGCTGGTGTAGTAGTATTAGTTCTGTGGTAGCAAGTGTGGCGATACCTGGCCTAGCAGTTTGTATATAATAATAATAATAATATAATATTATATAATATACATATACGCATGCACGCGCACGCACGCACACACACACACACACACACACACACACACACACACACACACACACACACACACACACACACACACAGAGGACTCCCTGCAAGAGACTCGAACCCAGAAGGCACAAATGTTCACGCACCTGTACACAACTAGTACGCTGACCGCTGAACCACGACGATCCTTAAAAAAAAAAAAAGAGATCGAAATTCTGGAGTATTTACCCAACATCTCGACCTCCCAAGGACACCGGTTATGGTAAGAGATCAGAATACGTTTTTCATCAGTCAAAAATTTAAAAAAAATTCCTGAAAATTCATCAATAAATTCAAAAAATAAATTTTCATCAATCAATAATAATAATAATAATAATAATAATAAATTATTATTATTATTATTATTATTATTGTCATCTTCATCGTTACGAAACACGCCGAGTGTCTGACTGACTTGCTCATATTAAATGGCAATATAATATAGCTCAACATATTTCACAAACTAATATTAAATACATTTAGTAACATGACACGAAGTGTGTAGTGTTATTGTTCAAGGTAATGTTTATTATCATGATTACTGTTGCTTGTTTTATGTGTTGAGTAATGTTTGTTCTTGTAGGTCACAAGGGGGGGGAGGGAGGGAGAGACAGACAGACAGACAGACAGACAGACAGACAGACAGACAGACAGACAGACAGACAGACAGACAGACAGACAGACAGACAGAGACAGACAGACACAGACAGACACAGACAGACACAGACAGACACAGACAGACAGACACAGACAGACAGACACAGACAGACACAGACACAGAGGGGGGGGGGGTATCATTCAGTCTACACTGACCTCGGGGAGAAGATCCGCTCAAGTACATGGATTGAGAAGGACTTCATCATGTGTGCTATTATCTACTCTCTCTCTCCACGGCTAGGTTAGGTTGTTACTTTAATTTTAGGTTTGGTTACGTTACGTTTCATTACATTTGGTTACCTTAATACGGTGAATTATTGACTCGTGCAGGATTATCATCTATGAAATAAAAAAAAATCCAACATTATACCACAAGAAATGAGGCACAAGTATCTTGAGGAAATTTATAAAGAAGCCGGAGATGAACTAGATCAAATCTACACTGACGGGTCATCTAATCCTGTCAATGGCAGGGCTGGTGCAGCATACACGGTAATTAAGGATAATACTTTCCAACGCAGAAATGAAGAAAAAGCTCGTATTGAGAACTATGCCTCTTCAACGCAAGCAGAGCTAACTGCCATTGTTATGGCGTTAAAGTTTCTTGAACGGAACACTAATGGTGCAGTGATTTGCACTGATTCAAAAGCAGCACTGCAAAGCCTAAGTAAAAATCGGGCAGAAAATCTTGCAATAGTCGCTAAAATTAAGAGAGCTGTGAGAGTACTTACCAATCAGGGAAGAGTCATCAAGTTTCTGTGGATCCCCTCCCATGTTGGAATATGTGGGAATGAACGAGCAGATGTGCTGGCTGCTGAAGGCGCTGAAGGAGACCATATTGAATACTTCATACCCAAGACTCAACTACAAATTAGAGGTATTATCAGGCAACATCACCGTGACAAGGTAACTGAGGAAAGGAGGAAAGAAGCACAAACCAGTGAATCTGTACGATGGTACAACATGGTTGCAGCTAGCGATCCCAGTCATTATGGACGAAGAGGAGGAGGACGAGGGAGAGAATCAGTAATAGCGAGAATCCGTCTTGGACATAAATATCCATGGAGATACGGAATGGAAACAACAGTTAATCAGCGAAGTTGCAGAATCTGTGGTGAGAGTGACGGACACCGCCTTGACCACTATCTACGTGAATGTGAACACCTGAGAGACATTAGAAATATGTGTAGAATAATAAACCCCACATTGTTTAAGTTAGGAAAACACTTCGTCAAATATTGATACTGTTCTTAAAAGATTCCCCCATTTTGCACCCACAAAGATAACGTAAGCTTTTAAGGGTTGATAGATGTTAATCATCTTGTTTGAGGAGCTGTTCACTTGAGACAGTTAAGCAAGTCCCAGCTGTGTCTGGGTACAAGTGACAGGATGAACAACCCAGCGGGTTTTCTTCCTATTGGGGAGTGTTGTACATGCTGCTATGGCGGTGTGTCCACTCACAAGATGAGTGGCGCTGCCCAATAAACTCACCCCTCGGTCCAAAATTTAAAAAAATTATTGACAATAATGTGATATATGGAACTAAAACTGTTTCAGTGTGCCCACAAATTCAGTTTACAGAAAACTAAATTCTTCCAAGAAAATGTTTTCAGAATACATTTTTTAAATTTTAAATCAACGATTTCTATTACTATAAACTATAACTTTAATGTAAAAGAAAAGAACCAGGTTCCGTGAAAGGAACCCAGACATCAGGGTGACGGCGGGGTGGGGGCCCAGACATCAGGGTGACGGCGGGGTGGGGGCCCAGACATCAGGGTGACGGCGGGGTGGGGGCCCAGACATCAGGGTGACGGCGGGGGGGTGGGGGCCCAGACATCAGGGTGACGGCGGGGTGGGGGCCCAGACATCAGAGACCGCGGGGTGGGGGCCCAGACATCAGAGAGACCGCGGGGTGGGGGCCCAGACATCAGAGAGACCGCGGGGTGGGGGCCCAGACATCAGAGAGACCGCGGGGTGGGGGCCCAGACATCAGAGAGACCGCGGGGTGGGGGCCAGACATCAGAGAGACCGCGGGGTGGGGGCCCAGACATCAGGGTGACGGCGGGGTGGGGGCCCAGACATCAGAGACCGCGGGGTGAGGCCCAGACATCAGGGTGACCGCGGGGTGGGGGCCCAGACATCAGGGTGACGGTGCGGAAGGGTCCAAAACATCAGAGGGACCGCGGGGTGGGGGCCCAGACATCAGGGTGACCGCGGGGTGGGGGCCCAGACATCAGGGTGACGGCGCGGAAGGGTCCAAAACATCAGAGGGACCGCGGGGTGGGGGCCCAGACATCAGAGAGACCGCGGGGTGGGGGCCAGACATCAGAGAGACCGCGGGGTGGGGGCCCAGACATCAGGGTGACGGCGGGGTGGGGGCCCAGACATCAGAGACCGCGGGGTGAGGCCCAGACATCAGGGTGACCGCGGGGTGGGGGCCCAGACATCAGGGTGACGGCGCGGAAGGGTCCAAAACATCAGAGAGACCGCGAGGTGGGGAGCCCTCGGGCAGATAAACTAACCGGACCTCAACTGGCCTGGGGACGGTCATTCTACATTCATAATTTCAATCTAAAATACTTCAAAGGACCGGGAAATATCGGGAATTTCGACTGGAGGCTTCAACCGTTTCATTTTTATCCACATCGTCATCAAAGGCAGCAATGGCTCTTGTATTTGAACTAATATCTGGCTATAGCTGTCCCCCTCCACCCCCCTCCTTTCCCCTCTACCCCCCCCCTCCCAGGCCTAGACTCCCTTCCCCCTCTCACCAAATGTCCCCCCAACACCACTCCAGTAACCAAAATCACCTCACATAAGCCACTGTGCCTCCCTCAACACCCCCCCCCCCAGACAAGCCACTGTGCCCCTCCCCCTCCCTCAACACCCCCCCCTCCATTCCCTAGCCCCAAGACCCCCCCCCCTCCCCCTCCAACTCCTCCATCACCCTCACTGACAGATCTGGCGGGGAATGAAAACAAACACACACATGAATGTTCAAATACGCCCACATTATGTACCAATTAAAAAAACCATTTATCCTTAATGGTGACGGTGATAACTGACTGTGATGGTGAGCACGAGGGTGATGGTGAGCACGAGGGTGATGGTGAGCACGAGGGTGATGGTGAGCACGAGGGTGATGGTGAGCACGAGGGTGATGGTGAGCACGAGGGTGATGGTGAGCACGAGGGTGATGGTGAGCACGAGGGTGATGGTGAGCACGAGGGTGATGGTGAGCACGAGGGTGATGGTGAGCACGAGGGTGATGGTGAGCACGAGGGTGATGGTGAGCACGAGGGTGATGGTGAGCACGAGGGGGTGATGGTGAGCTACAGTAAACAAAACAAAACAAAAAAAGTGATGGGAAACAACATCGACAAATATGACAAGAAATATCAAATCCTGCTAACGCTATCAGCAATAATAAAAATATCTCCCCCTCTCCCTCCCTCCCCCCTCTCCCTCCCTCCCCCTCTCCCTCATCCTCCTCCCTCCCTCCCTCCCTCCCTCCCTTCCTCCCTTCCTCCCTCCCTCCCTCCCTCTCCCCCTCTCCCTCCCTCCCCCTCTCCCTCCCTCCCCCTCTCCCTCCCTCCCTCCCTCCCCCTCTCTCTCTCTCCTCCCTCCCTCCCTCGCATCCACTTTCTCCTCCATCTCCCTTTCGGCGTTCAAAAGGGAACTTGCTAAAACTCCTCCAAAGGGTACCTGATCAACCTGACTGTGATTCCCACGTCAAACTAAACGCACAAAACACCCAAACATATGTTGACCTTTTGATAAATTCCGAGGATCAATGTCTCCGCGGCCCGGTCTCCACCAGGTCTCGTGGTTGGTGATCAGATCAACCAGGCAGTTTCAAGCGGCTTCTTGCAGCCTGAAATGCGAAGTCACAGCCTGGTTGATCAGGTATCCTTTAAACTTTTAAAAGACATTGATCTTCGAAACAAGCCACAGGAAAGTAAGTTCCTCTCTCATCACTTTAAAGTTTCGTAGCTACAACTTTCATAACTACAACCTTCATAACTACAACCTTTATACTACAACCTTCGTAGCTATAAGCTTCCTAACAATTACGCTGTATATTAATGGACATTTTAATATGTACACATTTAGACTTATTGTAATTCTCTCTCTCTCTCTCTCTCACACAATATCGGGCCTTGTCTGCGACACAGGAAAGCGCTGCTAAAATCATCATCAATTAGCAAGAATTATACCAAAAATTAACTGAAGGAAGGAAAGAATAGGAGAGGATAGGGAAGGGAATGGTAGGGGAACTAGGAGGGGAAATGTCGGTAGGTAATGAGGGAGAGGGATGGAAGATGAATAGAGGGTAGGGTTTTTTTTTTAGAAGAGGATAGGGAAGAGGGAAGGGGAGGAGAGTGTACTCACCTAGTTGTGCTTCCGGGGGTTGAGCTCTGGCTCTTTGGTCCCGCCTCTCAAACTGTCAATCAACTGGTGTACAGATTCCTGAGCCTACTGGGCTCTATCATTTGAAACTGTAAGGAGTCAGCCTTCACCACATCACTGTTTAATGCATTCCATTTGTTAACTACTCTGACGCTGAACATATTCTTTCTAATGTCTCTGTGGCCCATTTGGGTACTAAGTTTCCACCTGTGTCCCCTTGTTCGTGTTCCACCCGTGCTGAAGAGTTTGTCTTTGTCCACCCTGTCAATTCCCTTGAGAATTTTGTAGGTGGTTATCATGTGTCCCCTTACTCTTCTGTTTTCCAGGGATGTGAGGTTCAGTTCCTTTAGCCTTTCTTCGTAGCTCCTACCCCTTAGTTCCGGGACTAGTCTGGTGGCATATCTCTGAATTTTCTCTAACTTTGTCTTGTGTTTAACTAGATATGGACTCCAGGCAGGAGCTGCATACTCCAGGATTAGTCTGACATAAATAGTATACAAGGTCCTGAACGATTCCTTACACAAGTTTCTAAAGGCAGTTTTTATGTTGGCCAGTCTAGCATATGCTGCTGATGATATCCTTTTGATGTGGGTCTCTAGGGACAGATTCGTTGTGATATCAACCCCCAGATTTTTCTCTGAATTTGAGTCTTGCAGGATATCACCTCCCAGATGGTACATTGTATTCAGCCTTCTGTTCCCTTCGCCTAATTTTGTTACTTTACACTTTCCTCAGTTGAACTTTAGTAGCCATTTCATAGACCATTCCACCAGTTTGTCAAGATCCTCCTGTAGTGTCTATCTTCATCTGTCTTGATTCGTCTCAGAATTCTTGCATCATCGACAAACATTGAGAGGAATGAGTCTATACCCTCTAGAGGAAGGAGGACGGTAAGGAGGAGGTAGGAGGAGGTGGGAGGAAGAGGTGGGAGGAGCTGGGGGGTGGGAGGAGCTGGGGGGGGGGAGGAGATATGAGGTAGGAGGAGGAGGTAAGGAGGAGGTGGAGGAAGAGGTGGAAGGAGCTGGGGGGGGGGAGATATGAGGTAGGAGGAGGAGGTAGGAGGAGTAGAAGAAAGAAGGAGGTGGTGGGGAGACAATAAAAGAGGAGGAGCCTAGTTGGTGCCCAAGAAAGAGAGAGAGAGAAAAAATCTAACGCTTAAAATTAACGTAAATTTCATCTCTAATGGTTCCATCTTCAGTAAAAAGAAAAACAAAAAATTGTACAATGTCCTATTGAGTCCCGGCCCTCTAGAGCCCCCACGCCACTCTCTCTCTCTCTCTCTCTCTCTCTCTCTCTCTCTCTCTCTCTCTCTCTCTCTCTCTCTCTCTCTCTCTCTCTCTCTCTCTCTCTCCAGCCCCCAGACAGACCAACACCGCAGCTAAACCTGCCATTTTACCGGTGAAGCTGTGCAGGACAAATATAATAACCATTGAAGAGATGAAAACCGCAAGTGAGAAAGAGCGGAAAGACACGGAGAAGAAGAAGAAGAAGAAACTGAGGGTTTAAGTCGAAGAAATAGGCCAAAGGGATTACTAAGTGAAGCAGCGAGACCACCACAACACCCACTGGTGGCCTCCCCGAGCCTGGCCTCAGGCCGGCCTCGGGGAGTAGAAGAACTCCCTAAATCCTTTATAGACATGCTCCAGCCCGTGGTAGCAGGAGGAACAGTAGCAGTAACAGTAGCAGTAACATCGGGTGCTTACCATCAGTAAGCCCCCTATGTTGCTACTGTTACTGTTGCTGGCTGCTGCTGCTGCTGCTGCTGCTGCTGCTGCTGCTGCTGCTGCTGTTTCCTTCAGCAGCCCACGATCAGTGTGTGATTACACGGTAAACTGTTCTTTCCGTCTCGTCAACACGTTGTCTTAATTGATGACCGTCTTCCTGCCACTGTCTCTGGAGACCTTCAACACCACCACCATCTTGCCCACTTGTGTTAGGCCTGATGCTCAAACAGGTAACTATATGGAACACATGTTAGTGAGCATTGTCTTCTTATCATCCAATGATAACAAATTAGTTGTTTAAGTGAGGGGAGGAAGAACTGGATACACACTATACATAAAATCCAAGATTCATTCTCCAGTATACATGCATACGTTCCGAGCCATAATGTATATCATACAGATTTGAATAAAAAAATATTTTCATGGACATTAAATATGTTGAAACGAAATTGGGTCAAATTAAAGGAAAAGTCTGGCGAAAGGGAAAAAAGGGAAAGTGTAGGGGAAATATCTGCTTGATATCCCCTTGATATTGCTCGAGAGAGGAAAGAGATGAGAAACATGAGATAGATATATTTTTATGGGAACCCCTCATAAAAATCCTAGTCTCTGCCACAAGGATGGTACGGTACTGTAATTTGTGTCCTTGTCTATGGCCGATATGAGAATGAGAAAGCAAGCACAGATTCCTGGGGGACTGAGCTACTCACAGCTGGTGGTACAAATTTTCTTTGTTGACTATTACACACACTGGGTTCTGTTAGGAAACTGAAAACCCATCTCCGTATTTTACCAGTAATTGCTTTTGAACGCATTGTGTGTGTGTGTACAATAACAGCATGATGGTCGCATGTCGAAGGTTTTTTTGCGAAATCTGTGTAAATTACATCAGCCTTTTGCTTGTCTTCCATGGCATGCAAGATCGTATCACAGAGGTCTAGCAATTATGAGAAGCAAGAGCGCCCTGTTCAGAGCCCGTCTTATCCAGGGTTACGCTGACGCTGCGATTCCATGTGGCTTGTGATCTTACTTCTTGGCACTTTTTCAATGATTTTTAATGTGAAGATGCTATCGGTCTGTAATTTTCTGCCTCTGCTTTATTCCCTCCTTTATGGAGTAGTGCTATCTTTGTTTTTAGTATATCGGGTATAATACCGGTATCTAGGCTCCGTCTCCAAAATATGTTAAGGGCCTGCGTTATTTATTTTTTTTTTTTGTTTTTTAACAATTCTAGATGAATTCCATGAATCAGTGCGTGATGCAGAGTCACGCACTTACTGTCTATGGCTACTTCAAAATCCAATCAGGGTGACATCTCAATATTATGATTTCACGTTGGTATCAATTCATGAAGAATTCATTTGGGTTTATACCACTAATAAATATATCACTATGCAACAATGATCACAAAAACACTGATCCAAGTATGCAGAATAACCACATGTGAAAAATAGAAAATGCTTAACGCGTTTTCGGCTAATTCGCCTTCATCAGAGCAAAGTAGAAATGGAAGTATTTCATTTACAGTATTTAAAAGTATTTCTACTTTGCTCTGATGAAGGCGAATTAGCCGAAAACGCGTTAAGCATTTTCTATTTTTCGCATGTGGTTATTCTGCATATCACTATATAAGTAACATACCACTTTATACCACTAATAAAGTAATCTTCAGTGTGTTAAGAGTGTGTGAGGAGCTCGCTGTAAAGAGGGAGTCGAACTGTTGGCTCAGTATTTGGCCCATGTGATTCATACCTCGGCTAGCCACTCCCCCTTCTTCCAGACCCCTGGAAGAAGGGGTCTAACCGCTCCCCCTGGTTAAGGGGAAGCGGTTCCTTCCCTAAAACTGGCAGCCCCCTCCCCCCCCCCCTTACCATCTGCCCAATCGCCCCCACCTCTGAACGAACATCTACCGACCGAAACTTCATAACCCGCCTCCGCATGAACACAAACTTGTGAGAAAACATCAAAGTAAAAAATAATGATGAAAGGTGAAAAGCAAAGAGCCTTAGGTGGAGGCCGGAGGCCTGATCCATTATATTAGCGGAGAGGGGGGGGGAGGTGGGGCTGGTGGAGGGGGGGCTGGTGGAGGGGGGGCTAGTGGAGGGGGGGCTGGTGGAGGGGGGGCTGGTGGAGGGGGGGCTTGTGGAGGGGGGGGCTGGTGGAGGGGGGGCTGGTGGAGGGGGGGCTGGTGGAGGGGGGGCTGGTGGATGGGGGGCTGGTGGAGGGGGCGGAGAGGTCGGGGTGGGGGGGGGGGGGCTGGTGGAGGGGGGGTTGGTGGAGGGGGGGTGGGAGATAGAGAGGTCTCATGAGGGGGAGGGGACGAGGCAAACGGATGTAGTAGAGGTAGGGGGAGAAAAAATAAAATAAGAGGGAGGCTATCTTGAGATGATTTCGGGGCTTTTAGTGTCCCCGCGGCCCGGTCCTCGACCAGGCCTCCACCCCAGGAAGCAGCCCGTGACAGCTGACTAACACCCAGGTACCTATTTTACTGCTAGGTAACAGGGGCATAGGGTGAAAGAAACTGCCCATTGTTTCTCGCCGGCGCCTGGGATCGAACCCAGGACCACAGGATCACAAGTCCCGCGTGCTGTCCGCTCGGCCGACCGGCTCACCAACTATACACGATAATAATTACAATAATACACTATAACTCGCTACAACTAGGGAGCAAGTAGTTGTGAATAGTAGTAGTAGGTGTTGATCATTTGTACCATTGGGAGGTGGGCCAGTTACTATTGGGGGGGGGGATAATGGTGGCCGTGAGGGGGAGGGGAGAGGGGGAGGGGAGAGGGGAGAGGGGAGAGGGGGAGGGGAGAGGGGGAGGGGACGAGGGGGAGGGGAGAGGGGGGAGAGGAGAGGGGGAGGGAGGGAGGGGAGGGGAGGGGAGGGAGGGGGAGGGGAGAGGGGAGAGGGGAGAGGGGAGGGGAAGGAGAGTAGTCGAGGGAAAGCATCTACGAGGAAATGAGGTGTAACCGACACTATGAGGCCAGGGGTATACCACACCCCCGTCCCATCATACCAGCATGAAGGACGCAGCATACCACATAGCGGTGGCTTCCTGTCCCGTGTCTCCAGGCTCCGTCAATATATCCTCCCATATATCAGGACAACATCGCCATCTACTTCATATATCGATTACCGGGCCATAAGAGCCATAAGTATTGAGGCGGTCCGAGTGACCAGAATTTAGAGCTGATATCTTCTCCCGGGGCCAGAAATATGGCACCGGAACGTCGCCAGGTGTGAGGCACTGGCACTCAATTGATGGCACTCGCTTCCCTTTGGCTCTGGCCCCCCCTACCTGCCTCTGTTGCCCCCACCCTCCCATGCCTCTCTTGCCCCCCCTCCCATGGCCCCCCCTCCCATGCCTCGTCTCATTCTCCATTTCCTGAAGAAGACGAGTAATTGATGGGGCGCGGCCTATTGATTTTAAGGTAGAGGGTGACAGGCAAGAGTACACCACTACACCCTAGGGTACCACTACACCCTGGGAGTATCACTACATCCTGGGAGTATCACTACACCCTGGCACTACCACCACACCCTGGCCCTACCTGTCGGAAAATCCGACACCATTAATAATAATAATATCATACAGACAGATAAGAGCTGTGTTGTTATAAACAAGTTACCCATAGAAAACGTAACTTGTAGTGGAATTACCGTCTAAAGAAAACGGGATATCATCACCACATACTATTATATTCTCCACCTATTCTGCTGGGAATTATTCTTAAATACATTAGTCTTTGGACTTTACCATCATAAAAACATCTTATATAAATTAACTTAATTATCAATATTAAAGTAGAGTAAATGTGACCCTTCTATCACTTTCTGACATTTGGACAATGTAGGCCAGGCGTCAGTGGGGAAGGAGGGCAGCCATTGTTGTTGATACTGAGACCAGAGGCTCACGGGAGCAAATACGGCTCCTGTTAATTTTACTTGGACGTAGTGTTATGGAAACCAAGGGTGTACCATTTTCAACACGCTGTCAACAAATCAAGTTAAGTGTTCTTTCCGAAACCCGTTTATTTTCATTTATGGCCATTAATGTCATTATATAGGGTGATCCGGTTAGAGCACGTGGTAGCCTCAAACTAAAGGTAATTAAGCCAGGTCTTCAATGTTCCATGTACAGTATTTTCTCTGATATAGCTTGTCATATATAGGTATCAGGCTTTACAGCTAGCGCCCTTTTAACAGGTCAAGACGAGGAAGGCTTTGTGCATCAGTTACTGGGTGATGGAAGCTACCTCAAAGAGGATAATTTGGTGTCTACACCCTAGTTATACCTGGTGGACTAACCTGCTGTACTATAAGATAAGGAACCTCTTCAATGTATATAGTCTAATACTGTAGTTTGATTGGCTGCATATATATAATATAAACCCCCCCTAATGTGTAGAGGATCGATTTGTGAGATTATTGCAGAAATACAGTCCACTTATCATTATACAAATTGCTATCGAAGTATATAAATTAACGTAAATATAAATTCATATAAATTAAATATAAAACTCACAGGTCGGTTCCCACACTACCACCACACCCTGGGACCCTAAAACCATCATAGAACTATCACTGAGAACCAGCTGAGGGAGGGAGTGAGTGAGTGAGGGCATGAGGGAGTGAGGGAAGGAGGGAGTGAGGGAGGGAGGCAGGCAGGGAGTGAGAGAAGGCGGGAAGGAGGGAGGGAGGGAGTGACGGAGGTAGGGAGGGAGGGAGGCAGTGAGGGAGGAAGTGAGAGAGGGAGGGAGGGAGGGAGAAAGGAGAAAGAGTTCTGAACGACCCGAGGGAGGCTAATTCAATTTCAGTAGGAAACAAAGGCGGAGAAACACAAAGGGAGAAGCCCTAGCTGATAGCGGGCCGCTTGAGAGATTCACTCCCCCAGTGCCAACCGATACCCAACTTTGCCCCTCAAAAAAGCAGCTTGCAATAAAGAGAGAGTGGGACAGGCTGTTGTGGTGGTGGTGGCTGTTGTGTGGTGGTGGAGGTGGTTGTGGTGGCAAAGGGCCTGGGATGAGGAGGTGAATACGACACCTTGCAAGAGGTAGCCTTTGGGTGGGAGGCGATTCCCAGGAGCTGGATCTCGATTCCCGTATGCACCGATAGGTACCCACCCCCCAAACACCATATAGACCAATCAGAACCAAACAATGCAACAGCTTAGTGCATCATACCGAATCATACAGCACAATATTGAATCATACAACAGCATAGTACACCATACTGAACCATACGACAGCATAGTGCACCATACTGAACCATACGACAGCATAGTGCACCATACTGAACCATACGACAGCATAGTACACCATACTGAACCATACGACAGCATAGTGCACCATGCCGACCTTCATTATCGCGATCTCCGCGGCCCGGTCGTCGATCAGGCCCCCTCGTTGCTGGACTGGTCAACCAGGCTGTTGGACGCGGCTGCTCGCAGCCTGACGTATGAGTCACAGCCTGGTTGATCAGGTATCCTTTGGAGGTGCTTATCCAGTTCTCTCTAGAACACTGAGGGGTAGGCCAGTTATGCCCCTTATGTGCAGGGTTATGGAGATGCTGTGATTCCATGTATTTTGTGATCTTACTTCTTAGAACTCTCTCAAAGATTTTATGATACTTTGAGGTTACCTTGAGATGATTTCGGGGCTTAGCATCCCCGCGGTCCGGTTCCCGACCAGGCCTGCTTGGAGATACCTGGAAAGTTTCGGGAGTTCTTCTACTAACCGAGCCCGACCTGAGGCCAGGCTCGAAACAACACCATGGAACACCATACATAAACTTCTACTGCACCATATAACACTATACTGATCAATACAACCTCATACTCAACAACACAGTACAATATAATACAATATGATACAATACAATACAGAATACACTTTCAGTTGGAATACAGTAGACAAAGAACAGGATAAAAAAAATGGGAACACTAGGGGGGATAAAAAGAGAAGAACAAGGAGAAGACAACGACAATAATTAAACAAACAGAACACGCAGGAGTGGAGGACAGCCAGTGGTTAGCTCGACCCCTGGAAGGTGGAGCTGTACCCCAGAGATAAGTACACCCACCGCTCTGGAGTTCTCACTCCTGCGGGCAACACTTCACTCAGGACCCTCTTTATCCCGGTTATACATGCACAAAAGCCAGAGACTATACACCCGGTCGTCGCTGGGCGGGGTGCGGCGCCGGTCGTCGTCGCTGGGCGGGGTGCGGCGCCGGTCGTCGTCGCTGGGCGGGGTGCGGCGCCGGTCGTCGTCGCTGGGCGGGGTGCGGCGCCGGTCGTCGTCGCTGGGCGGGGTGCGGCGCCGGTCGTCGTCGCTGGGCGGGGTGCGGCGCCGGTCGTCGTCGCTGGGCGGGGTGCGGCGCCGGTCGTCGTCGCTGGGCGGGGTGCGGCGCCGGTCGTCGTCGCTGGGCGGGGTGCGGCGCCGGTCGTCGTCGCTGGGCGGGGTGCGGCGCCGGTCGTCGTCGCTGGGCGGGGTGCGGCGCCGGTCGTCGTCGCTGGGCGGGGTGCGGCGCCGGTCGTCGTCGCTGGGCGGGGTGCGGCGCCGGTCGTCGTCGCTGGGCGGGGTGCGGCGCCGGTCGTCGTCGCTGGGCGGGGTGCGGCGCGGTCGTCGTCGCTGGGCGGGGTGCGGCGCCGGTCGTCGTCGCTGGGCGGGGTGCGGCGCCGGTCGTCGTCGCTGGGCGGGGTGCGGCGCCGGTCGTCGTCGCTGGGCGGGGGTGCGGCGCCGGTCGTCGTCGCTGGGCGGGGTGCGGCGCCGGTCGTCGTCGCTGGGCGGGGTGCGGCGCCGGTCGTCGTCGCTGGGCGGGGTGCGGCGCCGGTCGTCGTCGCTGGGCGGGGTGCGGCGCCGGTCGTCGTCGCTGGGCGGGGTTGCGGCGCCGGTCGTCGTCGCTGGGCGGGGTGCGGCGCCGGTCGTCGTCGCTGGGCGGGGTGCGGCGCCGGTCGTCGTCGCTGGGCGGGGTGCGGCGCCGGTCGTCGTCGCTGGGCGGGGTGCGGCGCCGGTCGTCGTCGCTGGGCGGGGTGCGGCGCCGGTCGTCGTCGCTGGGCGGGGTGCGGCGCCGGTCGTCGTCGCTGGGCGGGGTGCGGCGCCGGTCGTCGTCGCTGGGCGGGGTGCGGCGCCGGTCGTCGTCGCTGGGCGGGGTGCGGCGCCGGTCGTCGTCGCTGGGCGGGGTGCGGCGCCGGTCGTCGTCGCTGGGCGGGGGTGTGACGCATTTCGTACACCTTTTGCAATGTTTGCAACTGGGTAACAACCTGGGTAACAACCTTGCAACCTGGCCTGGTCGACGACCGGGCCGAGGGGACACTAAGCCCCGGAAGCACCTCAAGGTAGCACCTCAAGGTAGGGTAGATCAACACCTATACATTGATGGGTGCAATATTTAAACGCTAAGTCGCCAGAGATCTTGGAGGGAGGGAGGGAGAGAGAGAGAGAGAGGGAGAGAGGGAGGGAGGGAGAGAGGGAGAGGAGGAGGACTTCTGTTGCAAGGAAAGGTCAACTGAAAGGTTACATCTCAGTGACTGGCTGACTCACTCTACAACCCATCCTCAGACTAAGTCCATTCCATCCAGCGGTCGACCCCACAGACGCATTCATCAACTTTAACATGCTGTTCATTCAAAACAGGAATTTTCTCAAATATAAATTAATATTATTATATATTAGTATACTGTGCATATTTAGGCATCGGTTAGGTTAAATACCTACTTGATGGGGTTCTGAGAGTTCTTCTACTCCAAGCCCGGCCCGAGGCCAGGCTTGACTTGTGAGAGTTTGGTCCACCAGGCTGTTGCTTGGAGCGGCCCGCAGGCCCACATATCCACCACAGCTAGGTTGGTCTGGCACTTCTTGAAGAAAACTATCTAGTTTTCTCTTGAAGATCTCTACAGTTGTTCCGACAATATTTCTGATGCTCGCTGGGAGGATGTTGAACAACCGCGGACCTCTGATGTTTATACAGTGTTCTCTGATTGTGTCTATGGCACCTCTGCTCTTCACTGGTTCTATTCTGCATTTTCTTCCATATCGTTCACTCCAGTACGTTGTTACCGCAGCTTCGCCTTCTGCTGTTATCGGGGGACTTACATATCTCTCAACTTCTCTTCAGAGCTAACTTACAATATCAAGTGAATGTCATGACGGAATTCAGATAATCACCTCCTGTCCAGGTGTTATTGCCACCACCAATCACCATCTCTTGTGTAAGTCAAACGGCCAATCGCCGTCTCTTGCATGAGTTACGCAATCACCGTCTCATGGGTGACTGACACAATAAATCACAGCACGTCGATGAATTACGGTCAGCGTCATGACACACACCAATCACAGTCTTCGTGGTGACTCAGGCGATCAATCACAGTTCTCTGGAACCGACGCTCAGCCATCAATCACGGTCTTCTGGGTGACTCAGCCATCAATCACTGTCTTCTGGGTGACTCAGCCATCAATCACGGTCTTCAGGGTGACTCAGCCCACCAATCACAGACTCGGCCCTCCTCTAAACCCTCATTGCATGATCGTGCACATTTCCCGCTCGATTTAACCCCTAGTAAACATGTTTTATGCTTCTTGTAATTTCCTACTTCTATATCGATCCCAGGAGACGCCAGTGTTCCCCTCTCCCCAGCTCCCTCTCTCCCTCCCTCCCTTCCCTCTCTTCCCCCCTCCCCTCTCTCCCTCTCTCTCTGTCTACCAGACTCCCCAAAATCGTCTAAGCCTCACGTAATTCACAAATACAAGAAAACTACTGGACTGTATACGCCTACACCCAACGTCACACTCATTCAAGTTACGAACATACAGCTGACGAAAACACTTAGGCCTATATAAGCTACACAACTTCAAGCTACACCTGTACTCCTGTAAGCCAAGATCTCCTGTATAAGCTACACTCACAGTCTACGAACACTCATACTGGAAACAAAATAAAATACAGCATACACACGCATACAGGCTCTGAATAATGAGGCCTACTAGACTGGTGGACATTCATACAGGATAAACCTAGAGCGTCAGAGCACACTCCTACACGCTATAGCTCAACTACAAGCAACGAGCACAACTCCTACAAGCTAAGACGCTACAATAAAAACAGTTTTATTACCAAATCACATAAAATGAACATTAAATTCCCCCATAAACCAAACCAGACTCGACACAAATCCAAGCAAATCCTGGCTCAACTTATCACAAGTCGAACCTGGCCTCAGGCCGGGCTCGGGGAGTAGAAGCACTCTCGAAACGCTCACCAGGTATGCCCCGGGTAAGCCAGACTCCACACAAACCCCCTACCAAATTGACACAAGCTCCCGTCAAATTTCAGACACACACACTCCGCCAAATTGATGAAAGAAGCAGGAAAGAAACCCACTCTACAAGCAGCCACTCCCCGCCTAAACCCAACGGGGTATCCAGTCCAATATATCAGGCAAACATTCAGTATGGAACTCCTCAAACAGAAAATACTCAATTCCTTTCCCTCCCTCCCTCTCCCTCCCTCCCTCTTCCGTAGCTCCCTCCTCCCTCTCCCATTCTCTCTATCCACTAGCGACCTGTACCCTACATCCCCTCCTCAACGTCTCCCCCCTTCCCTCCACACCCTTATTTCTCTCCAATCCCCCCTCCTCACTCCTATTTCATCCTCCTCACCCCTACATCCCTCCCCCACACCTCCTCACCCCAACTCCCTCCCCACCCTTCCTCTCCCACCAAATCCAAATTGAAATACATGTGTACGAAATGAACCGTAAGTCTCCACACACATTTGTTCATTGCCAGTAACTCGTCCAATCCCCTTCATGGGATCTGGGTCAATGGGATTCCAGTAACCGCATCCCCCCCCCCTCCACTCTTCCCCCCCCCCAGCGCCTGCGCCCACCCAGCTCCCTATCTGACGCCCACACGCCCAACAACACCCTGATTTACCGTAATCCCCCAGTACTGCCACATTCTATACCTAGTTGTTTTTTCCTCTATACCAGCACACTTTATTTTTTTTAGTGCGAGTTATTATTATTATTAACATCTTTATTGACAAAATTTAATTACAATTTTGCCTAATCTGAGGATTTCAATTGTCTTATTAAAGTGAGGATAAGGCTGGTATTCACTGTCACAAAGGACAGAGGGTCATACACAAGACAATAGGTCTAAACTGTAGGCCGAAGCACATATATATTTATATCATGGTTACAATCAATGTTTTAATGTACGAATATGTTTACAAGTATTTGGTGGCTCTGACTTCTTCAACTCGGAAAAATTAACTTTCTGGGTCTCGGGGACAAATTCCCCAGGGTCGAGCCTGGCCCCCAGGGTCGAGCCTGAGGAGTAGAACAACTCCCGAAAACCTCTCCAGGTATGTTCCAGGTATGCACTTAGCGTGTACTACTTGCTCAACGTGGCGGCACCGTTCCGAGGCGAGTGGCGTCATTACCTAAGGGGCCGGGGCTACTCTTAAGACCCGCCCCTATGTCTCGCCAGACATTTACTGAAAGGGATTTTAAAGTCCAGCTTCCCTATTACCGGGTTCTTAAAGCTTAAAAGTAAAGGTTAGAACAATGCGTCGCCGGTAAATTGAGTAATTTGTGCTACCACGAAGATATCGTTTTTAGTAGTCAGTAGTTTCTAGTAGTGGCACCTTATAGTTTTTTTAAGCTGCAACTTATCAATATTTTCTTTAAGTTACCACAAAGCAACAATCCTCCAATTATCACAAAGCCGAGCATGATTTACAAGTTAGCCCAGACCATGGCTGCTTAAAGGCTACCACAAAGCAACCATTTACCTCAAGATACCGCAAACCTTACTTGACAGTTCTACGTTTTAGAAGGATGCTTAGCAGCTCCCACAGTTCTCCGACACTTCAGGCAGCATCGATCTGAGTGCCTTATCTCTAACATCCGCAGCATCCACGAGCTCTAACTTAGCCCTGAATGGCTTGCCTCCAACACCCCAGCATCCCGGAGCTCTCCTCATAGCCCTGAGCGCCACATCTTCAACACCCCAGCATCCCGGAGCTCTCCACATGACCCTGAGCATCACATCTTCAAAACCCCAGCATCCCGGAGCTCTCCACATAGCCCTGAGCGCCACATCTTCAACACCCCAGCATCCCGGAGCTCTCCACATGGCCCTGAGCGCCACATCTTCAACACCCCAGCATCCCGGAGCTCTCCACGTAGCCCTGAGCGCCACATCTTCAACACCCCAGCATCCCGGAGCTCTCCACATGGCCCTGAGCACCACATCTTCAACACCCCAGCATCCCGGAGCTCTCCACATGGCCCTGAGCGCCACATCTTCAACACCCCAGCATCCCGGAGCTCTCCACATGGCCCTGAGCATCACATCTTCAAAACCCCAGCATCCCGGAGCTCTCCTCATAGCCCTGAGCATCACATCTTCAACACCCCAGCATCCCGGAGCTCTCCTCATAGCCCTGAGCGCCACATCTTCAACACCCCAGCATCCCGGAGCTCTCCACATGACCCTGAGCATCACATCTTCAAAACCCCAGCATCCCGGAGCTCTCCACATAGCCCTGAGCGCCACATCTTCAACACCCCAGCATCCCGGAGCTCTCCACATGGCCCTGAGCGCCACATCTTCAACACCCCAGCATCCCGGAGCTCTCCACGTAGCCCTGAGCGCCACATCTTCAACACCCCAGCATCCCGGAGCTCTCCACGTAGCCCTGAGCGCCACATCTTGCGTCTCCGACGCCCCCGGTGAGCCCTCAAGCTACTGA